ATAATACACCATGATCAAGTGGGATTTATTCCAGGGGTGCAAGGATGGTTCGATATCTGCAAATTAGTAAATGTGATACATCACATTAACAAAGGAAGGATAAAAATATTATGATCATCTCAATAGATGCAGAAAAAGCTTCTGACAAACTTCAACATCCATTTATACACTAATATGTATAAAATGGATAACTAATAAGAACCTGCTGTATAAAAAATAAATAAAATTAAATTTAAAAATCCATTTATGATAAAAACTCTCAACAATATGGGTATAGAGGGAACATACCTCATCATAATAAAGCCCATATATGACCAACCCACAGCTAACATCATACTCAGCAGTGAAAAGCTGAAAGCTTTTTCTCTAAGATCAGGAACAAGACAAGGATGTCCACTCTCATCACTTTCATTAGACATCGTTTTATAAAAAGTCCTAGCCACAGCAATCAGACAAGAAAAAGAAATAAAAGGAATCCAAGTTGGAACAGAAAAGTAAAACTGTCACTGTTTGCAGATGACATGATACTATATGTAGAAAATCCTAAAGACTCCATCAAAAAATTGTTAGAACTAAGAAATGAACTTGTTTATTAATAAACAGTATCTCCAATACCATATTAATTAGCTTTAACTGAGGGCTTCCTGTGTGCCGGGCTCTGTGCTCAGCACCTACATTTATCATTGTTAGCTATCAAAACGACTTTTGCTGATGCTGTAGGTGAGGAAACTCAGAGGTTAAATCACTTGTCCCCATCATGTGGCCTGGGCGGGTATGTGACAGGGCTGAGATTCACGTCTGGGGCTTTCTGATTCCAGAGTCACATCCTAACCACCCTGTAACATGCCTCTTACCAGTACCCGCTTACCAGTACCCGTGGGGGTTGGATCTGAAATCAGAGCAATGTCTAAATGGCCAGGCCAAATGCCAAGGCTGCTTAATCCAGAGAGCTGCTGTGAGGGCAGCAAGGGCATGAATCATTCATTCTGCAGGCAGGTGTGCAGTTCCCACCGACAGCACCATTCAGTGATTCACCAAAGTTGAAACAGTGTTCTGATGGGATAGATCATCCCAGAAAGGTTGCCCTTCTCTGGCAGGAGCCCACAGAAAACAGGGGCTGTGGGCTGACAGCCACAACTGCTATGGGGAAGTCACTGGGAGATGCTCAGAGGGTGGCCCCTAGGGTTGGGAACCAGGCTGGAGTCCAGAGTCAGAACTGGGGAACTTGAAGATCATGGGAACCGGGGACCGGGGAAACCAGGAGCATTTAGACATGGCCCAGCCAACAGCCTTATCCGTCTCCCAGGCAGCCTCAGTGTCACATACAGCGACTGGCCATGCCTAATTTTGAAACAATCAAATGAGTACTTGCTTAAGAAAGAAAACAGCCGCATAGCACAGGGAGATCAGCTCGGTGCTTTGTGCCCCCCTAGGGGGGTGGGAAAGGGGGGGGGGGAGGGAGGGAGACGCAAGAGGAGGGAGATATGGGGATATATATAGCTGATTCACTGTGTTATACAGCAGAAACTAGCACACCATTGTAAAGCAATTATACTCCAATAAAGAGGTAAAAAAAAATATCTGATAAAAGCGAGCAAGTGGAGAAGAGAAAATAAATCCTCTCAGCTCAGGACTGGGCGCCACGTTCGCCCCAGGAGCCTGTGGTCTGGGAAACCTGTGTCAGGGTAGATGTTCCAGGTGGGACCCACCCGGAGTCCACTGCTGCGTCCCCTTGGGGCCACACTGGGCCCTGCTGGCTGTGGACCACTGGGCACCCTGAGAGCAGCAGGAGAGGACATAGGCCTCCAGCACACACACTGGCTCTCGCTCAGACCCTCGCCTGCTGCGTCATCTCGGCAAATGACTGCTGTTTTCCTATGCTCCAGTTTCCTCCTCTGGACGAGGGGCAGAATAAATTTGCCCGACGGGTCTAAGCATTTCACAGTGCGCGGTCTCACGATGGCTGGATTCCTGCCGGGCACAAGCCAGGCACCCGGCCTCCTCTCTCTACCCATCTCCTCCCTGCAGAGTGTCTCATCAGAGAATGGTCGGGTGACAGGTGACTCAGAGCCACAGTCTCCAGGGCAGCAGAGACAGCACCCCGCCCCATGTGGGAAGCCCCAGCTCAGACAGGACCAGTGGCGCCCGGGGACCCCCAGGGGTTACCTTTTGGAGCCAGGTCCCCGCCCTGACTTCCCGTGAGCTTTTCTGTGGCTCGATTTCTGTGGGAGCCCTCGTGGGCTAATCCTAGGCGCCAGGAAATGTTTGGATGGGGTCCTGCGATTGCTCACCAGGAAATTACATCTGTCATTCCTGGTTCTCTGAGTCCTGCTTAGGACTCACAGGCTGCCCAAAGAAGCAAGGAGGATGACATCACCCACAGGCCCCGAGCTGTCCTTGGTAGATGCTGGTGTGACACCAGGTCACAGGACAGGGGCTGGTTCCCCTGCTCAGACCTGCCGCAAAACACAGGCCAGCCGCAGGCCTGTGCAGATGTTTCTGTGTGTCCTAAAATAGCGTCACTGTTTAAGTTCCACTGGCACGTGAAAGCCAGGCGTGTTCTCTGTAGGGTGGCCAGTGGCTCTCAGCTCACACCGCCTTGCTTCTGAGCTGCTCATCACGCCACATTTTGAGTCCCTTTTCAGCCGACTCCTGATCTCCCAAATGCCACCACCTTGCTTGTCGCCTGCCCTCAGGCCTGGGCTCGGCCAGCCGTGCCCTCCGGCTGCAGACCGGACCCTGAGGCTAATTCCACTCTCCCTCCCTGCCCTCCCCTTCACTGCAATTCAGAGGCTTTCCAGCCGCTCACAGCCATCTGTCTCCTAGGAAATCTCCCTTCCACCCCACAGCTGGGCATTTGCCCATCAGCCATTGACTAAGCAGGTCCTTCTGGAATTTTCTCCCGGGGGTGACCTGTTTCACTGCCTCCAGGCTGAGCAGGGCAGAGGGAGGGCCACGACCAGCAGACCAGATCCAGAAACGCAGGCTCCGCCCAGAATCGGTCACTAGGTCGAGCCCACAGTCCTGGGCTCACCATCCATCATGGGGTCCCCCTGGAGGCAGTGGGGCAGCCGCAGGGTCACCCAGCCTGGCCCGAACCCCTTTTACGGATGGACTTCTTAGTAAGTAGGTTGCTGCTTTAAAGCTACACGAGAGGCAGAACTGCCACTTCTCTGCCCCGAGGCCTGCTGCAGGGATGAGGAAATAACGTGGTCCGGGAAGACTGGGAAAGTGGTCCTGGGCTCTCAGCACAGAAGAAGTCAGGTGATTCCAGGGCCTGATCCGAGGCTGAGGCGAGAGCCAGGGGTGGGAAGGCTCCCCTGAAGGCCCTTCTCTCAGCTCCTTCTGAGAGCCTCTCAACCGCCTGGAACCCTGGGGGTCATCCTCCGGTCCTTCCGACAGAAGGCAGAGCAAAAACGGGGAAAACCCTGGGCTGGACACAGGACACCTGGTGTCCAGTCTCACTTCTCAGGATGCGCACTCTCTCCCTGAGCACTCACTGAACACCTCATCTGGACCTGACAGTGAGGGAGACCACTGAGTGTCGTGTCTACACTGGGACCTTCGGGGAGAAAGAAGAGACATGATTAGTAGTTACGCTGTGTAAACCAGGCCTTTTCCTGGCACACAGGGCCATGTGTTCTGGGCCCGGAAAGCTCATTCTGACCTGCTTCCTGCCCTGAGGCTGACGCACTGTGGGCAGAAAGGCAGGTGAGGGACTGGCTTGAGGCGTGATATGTGGGGAAGGGTGGCTTTGACGGCAGAAGTGAGCTTCCAGGGGCAGCGAGGAGGCCTGGCCGCAGGAGCACACGGGCTGGGGGGCGGGGGCAGCGTCGTGAGCACAGGGCTGGGTTTCCCAGTTGGTGGGGTGCGCGGTGAGGGCAGCTGCACATTTCTGGCAGGGGAAGTGCGCGAGGGGTGAGGGGCGTGCCACGCGCCCTCGGGATGCATCAGTGCCCTGGTGGTGGTTCCATGTGGGTGAGAGCTGAGGCTGAGGCCTCGGATTGGGGAGGGGGGCTGACAGGCTCAGGAGTTCAGATTTGATTCTGCAGGAACAGGGGTCCTAGAAGCACTGACTTAAGAACGAGGATAAGGCGATGAAGCTGCTTCATCAGGTGCTTAGTCTTCCTGGATTCAGTATCCTCGTCTGGAAAATGGTGCCTCACCACCACTGAACTTGAGAACCGCCAAGCACAACTGGGAAACACTCTGCAAAAAGGCAAAAGCACGATGCAGAAGGCTGCCCCATCCCTCCTGCGCAGCCCAAACCCAATGCGGGGTGCAGAACATAACGTAACGCAACAAGGTATACATTTAGTGTCAGGTTGGTCCCCCGCCTTGTGAGAAATTTGAGGTGGCTGTGCACTCAAGGGGCCGCCCTTCTCGTCCTCAGGGCGCGCTTCTGCTCCCCTCCCATCTGCTGCTCTCCTGGTCTGCTGGGGAACAAGGCTGCTCTGGGCGACGGGGCACTAAGTCGTGTGTGAGAACCAGGGGCCAGAGGCCAGGGAAACTGTACGGACCCCACTCACACACACACACGTCTACACTATCCTCCTCTCATTCCGCCAGCACTGCAGGCAAAATCCTGCCTCAGGACCTTTGTACCTTCTCTCTTCCCTGCCAGCTAGGCGTCCGCCCACGCTTGGCCCTCTCCTTTCCTTCAGGTTTTTACTAAAATGCCTCTGTAGCAAGAGGCCTTTCTTCATCTCCCTATTTAGGCTTCATCCCTTTTCATGTTTTTCTCCTAATCACTTACCAGCACCTAAGTATACTCGGTATATTATTCACTTATTTCAGTTATGGTCTGTCTCCTCCACCACGATTTAAATGCCACGAAGGCAGGGATTCCCGTCTGTTTTGGCATCTGCTGTAACAAGTGCCCGGGAGAGGGTAGCAAGCAGTCCTAAGTACCAGTTGAATAAACGAATGTCTCCTTTCTATTTGGGGCATAGGGTATCTAACCGAACTGGGGTCTGAAGTCATGAAATCCACACGAAGGCTACACTTTCATTTTCTTTTATTTGTGGCACTAAAAGACCAACAGTAGAGACAGCGTGGTGTGAGAGCGATTGGCTGGATGCCCTGGCCGCCCTGGGGAAGGTGAGTGGCATTCATCAGACAACGCAGAGCAGTTTCCGTCCTACGTGACGCCCGGCTCTGAAATCGTGAAACGTTCGAAGGATCCCGCCATATCTGTTGCTTCATTAAGACAGAAATTTTATTTCAGGAATTCCTCTTGATTTCTAGTCATCTCTTAAAGAGCTTTTCCTACAGCCGTAGTTGGCCTCTGAGATAAATACCAGAGACCGGGTGCTGTGTGCTATGAGAAGGCTGCCACGTGACCCACAGCGGCCATTCACTTGCCGGACACAAGCATGGAGACCAAACCCGCACTGTGAAGCACCAGCACGATTTTGATCTGATCCGGACCCGGCATCCACGCTTCTGCCCCGCGGAGGATTTCTAAGGCTCCTAGGGCAGCCTCCGGGCTCCGTGCTCAGCCCTCGGTCGGGGAGGGCTGCGCTACATCACAGCCCGCCGGGGGACAGCATCCCAAGTGGGCACTGCCATCCCTCCAACGTCCCCTCCAACGTCCTTCTGATCTCAGCCAACACCCCAGGAGAACTCAGACCTGCCATGTTCATACGTCACGTTTGATTGTTATTCTGGGCGATCATGGTTGATTTTTAATAGCTTTAGCTGGACAGACCGTGGTCTGCCACCCTCCATGAGGTTTTCACCCCAAATGTTTGAGGAATAAGGATCCAATACTTTCATTACTCAGTGAAGTCACCTTTGAAAAAGCCTCCCAACTCTTTTTTCTCACATCAAGTAGCATATGACATTCAGATTGTTTCAACTGATTTATATATTTTCCCTAGAATTCAGAAAGATTTTCAACAACTAAATGGTTTTAACCATCTACATGTGGTAAGTCTCCAAGGTCCAAAATCGGTCTAAGGCATGATTCTTTCCACTTTGTCTATCGATGTAATTAAGTGTGTTGGGCTCCAGCGTTTATAGTCCCATTAACCTGCCAACAAGAACAGTTTATTGGCAACTTTAAATATTCAGAGGCAAATACATTTCCTTGGCACAAGCCGCGTGGCAGAGTGGCATCCCCGTCCCTTTGAACCGTGATATAGACTGAAAGTCAACGGGGCGAGTTTTGGCCTGGAGACCAGGAAGCCACCAGACCCCTATATCCCTTGCCGGGTGGCGCTCGTGAGTGGAGAGCATCCTGCAGGGGGGTTTCTGCCACGATCGCATCTTGTTGCTGATTCACACGAGCAAGGGCACCTGCAGTGAAGAAAGAACCACAGTTACTCAGGGCGTGAGGCGGAGCCCAGGGTGCAGGTATCCGGGCGCTGAGGACCTGTGTGCCAACCCCTCCCTGCAATATTCCTTTCCCAACGCAATGAGTGTTTACGCTGTACCCATCAAACGTTTAGCCCCAAGGAGAAAACTCTCAGAAACACAAACAACATGCCTGAATGCTTTCAGTGACTGGCTACAGCCTTCAGGAAAAAGCATCGGGAACTGCTGGAGGGTCTAAGATGTGTCTGCAGGTCCCTGAGCTTCTCCCAGAGCCGTCAGCCGGCCCCAGCCCCCGCCTTCTCTGAGCTCCCTCCCAGTCTCTGAGTCTGTTAGGGGTCCGTCCCTCTTCTGGGCTGGTCTCTGCATGTGGGGTTTCTCCTTCGGGGATGCCCCTTTCCTGCTGGAAAACGAGGACTCCTTCTTCAAGAAGCGTTCAGACCATCTCTTGGCCGAAGGCATTCCTGCTTCCAGTCCTGGGCGGGCAGATCCGATCGCCCCCTCGCCCGCCGTGGTCTCCCAGCAGCTGTGTCTGTCACTGCTGGTGTGGGGACTCTGGGGCTGGAACCACGGCATCCATCCCCACCCCGTCCCCGGGCGCAGGACTTGCTGGGTGCCAGTGAGTGGGGGCGGCTCCAAGGGGCGACTGCAAACCCACACGTTCCCAGCCCACTCGACGCGTGAGCTCACCCTGCCACTCTGAGCCCAGCCCTGCACGCTCCTGGGATGCCCAAGTGCAGAAAATGTGACGGCCGAATCTTGAAGGAAACAGTTCCATGCCTCTGAAGGCCAAGGTGAACAGCATTTTTAAGAAAAGCGACAGATTCACGTGAAACCATGTGAAAGGAGCACTGGGTTTCTCACCGTGGTTCCACCGAGCTCAGCACATTCGAACTGGAATGGCGCTGGGAGCTGGGCATCTCGTCCTACTTCTCAGTGCGTTATCAGAGCGAACTTCCAAGGACCCAAGCAGATTTCTTATAACGCCAACAACACACACCACCTGGAATATTTCCTGTGCACTTACAGCGTGTCAGGTACCATTTCGAGCCCTCCATGAGTCTCATCTCATTAAAACTTCAGCTCAACTCAATCACTGACGCGTTATTGCCATTGTTATCACTGTGGGTACTGCCTCCAATATAAAGATGGGAGAACCGGGGTGTAGAGTGCTCTCTCGGCCTGGACCAAATACTAGTAAATAGCGGTCCCCAGCGGGCTCATCTGAGAAGAGAACATGGCCCCAGGCCACGACCACGACTGCAGGGTTCCACCCGCTCGTTTCTTACAAGCACACCCACCCATCAGTGTCTCCTTGGCTGTAGCGGTGTCCACACCAGCTGAGAAACGAAACGGGATGAGATGTGGAGTTTGGGGCGTGGAGGGAGGAGACTGGACCTGCTGATTTGGATGGAGCCCATGGGACACACACGGTGGACGTCAGGGAGGGCACTGAAGATTCGTGTCCGATGCACAGGGCAGCTTAGGATGGGGGTGGGATTGGGGGCCAGTGGTCTGGACAGTGAAGGGTCCGCCCGGGAGAGTGAGGAGATTTGGAAGACAAGGGGTCTTGGGACTCTCTCCAGGGCCGCATGCAGCCTTGGGCAGAGGAGACTCAGAACGTGGCCAGAGGGGCAGGGGAAATGTGCAGCGCGCTCGCCGAGCCGCGGGGAGCGCGCGTCCACAAGGATGCACGTGGTGACAGCAAACAGTGCAACGGGAACCAGCGGGCCCCAAGGGTGGGAAACACAGATGAGCTTATGTTTGAACATTATGTTAGTTACGTTTTCAATGGGTTTTTCTTCAAACCCTAGACACCTTGAGAAGTGAGCCACCTCTAACTTCAAAACAAAGATTTTAATTGTCAGTTTGGAAAAGCAAAATCAGTTTGCTACAGAATGTCCAAGACACGGGGAGAAGAGTGTGTGTGTTGGGCAGAGAAGAACAGACTGAGCCTGTTATTGGAAAATGCAGCCAGCATCCTGTTAACAGTATGTTTATCCCATTTCCTGACCTCTGAAAAGGGTCAGGGGAATAAAGGGCGCTATTCTTGCATCCAAGGGTACTAGCAGCATTGTGACCTTGACGAGGGCGGTTCTGAGAGCGGCCAGGAGGAGGCCGGTGGGGGAGGGGTGCTGGGGAAACGGAGCAGCACAAGTGGGCAGGACATCTGGAAGCTACAGTGAAGGGAAGCAGAGCTAGGCAGCGGTGGGGTCGGGTCCATGGGAGGGGGAGGGATTTTTAAAAGGTATCTTTACTGTTATTGTTTTAACAAATTAATTGATATATGATAAACTGCACACATTTAAAGAGTAAAACTTGATATGTTTTGACATATATTTATTTATTTTTTGGTCTGGCTTTATTTTTGGCCTGGCTTCTTTCACTCAGCATAATTATTTTGCGATTCATCGATGTTGTTGCGTGTACATTCCTTTCATTGCTGGGTAGTAATTCATTGTATGGATACACTGACTCTGCATCTGGGCTGGGCGAGTCTCAGGCAGGGGGTGCCCCCTCCTTCCCCGGTAAATGGGGATGATGGGATTTGCACTACAGACCCACCCGGTGAGGCTCGAGGTATACCTCATTGCGTTGTCACCAGCACCACCATCACTTCGTCTCATCCCAGCACCAGCGTCCTGGTGGCCGGGATGAGATGACAACTGAACGGAGGTTTGGGGGTGAGGCAGGAGACATCCTGCACGCCTTGGTCACCTAAAGCCTGGCCCGACTGGGAGAAGCCACTTTCAGAAGGCGGTTCCAAGTTGCTAAGGTAAACTTCCCAGGACACAGAGGGGTAGTAGGTGGGACTGTGACCCAGTGAGGGGAGCTACAGGGCAGGCGAGTGAAGGAAGCAGGGGCTGGACATCACCTGCTCTCCTGGCAGTGAGCCTGCTTCACTCTAGCCTGCGTGTCGCTGGTGCAGAAGACCCGGGCTGGGGGCTATTTGAATCCCTGGCTGGTTGAGACCTAGAAGGTGCTCTCATCACCACTAATAGCAACAACGATGGCTGCATGCAGATTGTAAAAGTTCTCAGTAAACTAAGAAAATATCTAGGAAGGAAAAGGAGAACTCCTAAACTTTGGTGTCAAGAAGGAAACTGAAGAAGGACAGCCTTAAAAAGCTCTGACTTGGACAATTCAACAAAGACAGCTTGGTGATGGAATCGGCCACAAGGTAGCATAAACCACACTGATGGCCATTAGTGTCAACCCAAGCTTAAAGCCACACTGGTAAGGGACCAGTGGACCTGCCCCGGGATGGGTGTGACCAAATTCAGGTGGGCAAGGAGGACAGAGGGCACCCCCCGGGGGAGGAGGGCGTGCTGCAAGGCGCAGCTTGGAAGAAAAACACTGGAAGGGTTCCTGGCATCCCAAAGGTTTCAAGCTTCCTGAAAGAATCTTTCCTATTTTGATTGGACAAGAAGAAAATCAATGAAGGGACAAAGCTTGCAGTTTGAGGCCAAGTCAGAAAGCTGTAAAAATATCCAAGTTTAATTCTGTTTCCCCACCTGCCAAGGAAAATGATGTTTATATGGAAAAAGGTAAAATGAACAGTGGTGACAGAGGGCTGGTGTCCAGGGGAAGGAAAGAAGTTGTCAGGGAGCGACAGGATTCTCTGTTTCAGGTCCCTTTTTTCCACCCAGACAGATGAGTTCCTGGGGTGGGGGGGGAGCTAATGGACTCCCAGGGGACCCAGCCATGCAGCTGTCAGCCAGCTTTGCAGAACGGGAGTGGGACCGTTGGCAGAAGACTGGAGATGTCCGGAACTTACCTTATTCTGCAAAGGAAAAGAAGGTGGTTTCTTACAGTGTGAAGTGGATTCTTGGCAAGTTTATCACGATTATGAAATAGACGAGTTCTGAGCACGGGGACCCCAAGTTGCACTCGGCCACTGGTCTGGAGAGCCAGGCAATATGGTGGCAAAGAATGGGCGCCCTTTCTCCCTTCCCCCAAAAGATAGTTACTGAGCACCCACTCTGTGTCTGGGGCTGTGCAAGGCGCTGGGACCTGCTGGAGCTCACGGTGTGGCAGGAGGGCAAGCCCACACAGGAGTTACACAGGTCACTGCTGAAATTAGGCTGAGATGTGGTTATGGGGGAAAAGGAGGTGACGCTCTGTTGGGGAACCTCCTCCAGCCTGGGGGCTGGGGGAGACTTTCTGGGGGCTTGAGGTTAATCCAGGAACATTCAGGACGACTGGGGATTAGCTGGTAACACTAGGAGGTGAAACGTTTTCCTTCCAGGAATAGGGAACCGCACCCATGAGGGCCCTGAGGGGTCACTGCAGTGGTGACAGGCATCCCTGGGTTCCACCTGCAGGAAAAACAGGTCACATGGAAGGTCTGTATAGGCAGGATGGTCACAGGGCAGCAAAGACAGAAATAACCTGTCTGTGCCTCTGAACTCTCCCAACTTCACTGAAACACATCAAAGGTCTACACTGTGCATTGCCAAGCCCACATGGCCTAGAGTTGCTGCTGCAACGCTTTTCTGTCCTGGCTCAGGGGCTCCCTGGGCTTTGATGGCGATGGTGTCACATGTCTAATCACTTCTCACAGGGTCTCCTGCCAAGGCCAAGCGCCAGGACACACGTGTGATCTGAATCAGTTAATTCCTGTGGTGGGAAAACGTACACCTGGGAGGGCCCAGCCGCGGCGTGCCCACCATGGGGCTTAATGAGGCATTTCCCAGAGGCGTCCGCCCGTGCCGGGCTGACGCGGAGTCTGGCTGGGCAGCGGCACTGACCTAGTTACGGCCAGGACGAGGCCCTCAGGACATCTGTGCCCCCCTTTCCCATCTGTGGAATGGAAGCTGCAGACTTTCAGTCCAGGAAGGTCTGGACACAGGAGATGCTTGCTCTCTGCCCTCCTCGGAGCGAAGCTACGACACATGAGGAAAAGGTCTTGGGGCTTTCACCAGGTCTCTAACTCTGTGAGATGTCCCTAAGGCCAAGGACAAACCCCCAATCCCTTCTTCCTCTCCCGGCTGAGAGTCCCCAGGGGGCACAGACAATGCTTCATTCATCTCTCCATCTCGAGCAGCTACTACAGTCCCTGGACCCTGGTGGGTTCTCAGGAAATGCTTGCGAGATGAATGGCCGGACGTGTGAATGTGTTAGATATAAACACGGATTAAAAGGGCACTTGGTGTCCATTCCAGGCCCTCTGAAACAATGCATTTAACACAGACCGACAGAGGCTGTCCAACGCACACAGTTTCGCCATGAATAAGAATGCAGGATGGAGTGGAAGGCGGAAGCGGATTCTGGGGTCCGTTTGAGCCCTGCCCCCAGCAAGGGAGGGCAGTGTCCACTGCGGAAGGGGCAGCAGACAGAGCAGAGCTGAGGACGCTGTTATCTGGGGCTGGACGGAAGACACAGAGTGGGCAACGTCTCTGACAACCGCAAATACAGAGGCGGGGCGTTCAATTCACACTGTGGAGGGAGGCAAACAGACTTCCAATCGCCCTGAAAAGCGGCCAACTCACTTTTAAGGTGATGATTCCTCCTACATCAAATCGACCCTCTGGTCTTCTATCATAAGCAGCATCGTCACCGACGCAAAACGTGTGTGTTCAGGGAAGGGTGAGTAACTGTGCCCGCCTTAGCAGTGAGAGTCCCTCACCTCTGCCAGCTCTCCCGGGACAGCCGGACGCCCTGCTTCTCCTGGAGGAAGATGCCTGGAGGACTCACGCACTGCAGCCCCTCACGCCCCCCGGGAGAGCCGGGAACACCCCGCAGTCCGGGACGCTATCCTGGCTACACGCATCCCGGAGCGTCACTGAACACCAAGGATGAAGGAACCTCTGCTCGTACTGAGGATCCACAGACAGCGCAGCCCACACTGCTTGGATCCAGGAGTCCCACACTTCGCTCACTTTCCTTGAGGTGATGCAGCTTTAAAAGCCCAAAAGGTGAAAGAAAGCTAAAGAGGCAGAGCTCAAGTGACTCGAGGTGCAAACGCCGTAACACACCCCAAGCTGCATCTGCTGCGAAGCCACGGAGACATCCACGGCCAGGGCCCTGCAGACAAGGGCCGCCTAACGAGACTTCTCAGGGAAGGCACAGTTGGCCCTGGTCACCCGGATCGCACGTGTGTCCCCTGGTGTCACAGGTCTGCTGTTCCACACCAATAGGGAGGGCGAGGCAGTCGAAAACGAGGTCAGGTGCACACCTCCAGGTTCCAGGTGACGCTGGCCTGGCCGCACCTGGGTGTCCCTGATGGAGGCTGAGCTGAGGCTTCTGGGTGGAAGGTCCAGGTCCTGGCCTCCGAAGTCACGTGTCCTTCGGCAGGTTTTACGTGGCCCTGAGACGCAGAGTGTAAGCAGGGGGGAGGTGAGGGGTCTGGGTCGCTGTGTAGAGCAGTGACACAGTCTTGTCGCTCAGCCCTTAGGCCTCTAGGTAAGATGTGGTGCATTGGGTAGACAAAGGGACAGGGTCTCCCAGGTCACGCTCATCGTGCTCACTCAGGCCCAGCTTACAGCCCAAGGGCATCGAAACCTCAGACGCGCCAGACTCACTGCCTCACCATTGCCAGGATGGGTAACGCAGGTCCCAACACTTAGATTAATCCAAGAAACAGTCCAAACGTGGGCTTTTGACCTGCCATGTGAAGCTGCCGCCACAAAGCTGAGATCCGGATGAGCAACGGCCTGGCCTCAGCCCCCCGGACCTTTCCTGCAGGCACTGCCAGGGCCGCGCTGCCCGCTGTGCGGATACACACACACACCCCCGTCTGTGTCCCGCCACCCACTGGCCAGCAGGTCCCGGCCCTTCCTACCACTGTCCTTGTGTTTCTCCCCACTTTCTTTCTCGTGGCACAAACAGCTTCCTCTCTCTGCTCCTTTGGACAGTTCCCAAACTTGTTTTTTAAAATTATTTTCTGGAAGGCATGGGCACACGTTCTAAGAGAGAGAAAGCCTGAGGTTCAAGGTTGCAGTGGTGGCCTCTCCCCCGTTGTGCAAGCCCAGGCAGGCTTTTCTCTCTGGGCCCCTGATCCACGTGACTCCTGCGAGGTGGACAGAGTAACAGCTATTTGAAATGACCCCAAACCAGCCAGTGAGATGATGTATACGAGAAATGAGTACAGCCTTCATATAATTACAGTCAGCATGACTCAAACTGCATCAAAAGCTCAAAGGACATGGATAATTATCTCAAACCTCAAAGTAAAGTGACTTGATAAATACTAGAAAATTGCAGAGGAGTAGGCTCAAAGCCCTGAAAATCTGACTCAGCATGTAGATGTCCTGTGGTTCTCACTTTGAAACAGTGTTTTAGAGACTCAAAATCGTCCCCTCAGACCAGCCAGACCATCGAGGTTGATAACCGGCTGTGCTGCCTTGGATTCTCTGAGAACGACCGACATGTCCTTTCTTTTTCTTCTTTTTTTTTTAACTGAACTATAGTTGATTTACAATACTGTGTTAGTTTCAGGAGTACAGCCAAGGGATTCAGTTAAATATGGATGTATGTATATCTATACTATACAGGTATTCTTTTTCAGATTCTTTTCCACTATAGGTTATTACAAGATACTGAGTAGAGTTCCCTGGGCTATACAGTAGGTCCTTGTTGATTATCTATTTAATATATAGTAGTGTGTATCTGTTAATCCCAAATTCCTAATTTATCCTCCCCCCACCTTTCTCCTTTGGTACCATGAGTTTGTTTTCTATGTCAAGAGTCTGTTTCTGTTTCATAAATAAGTTCATTTGTATCATTTTTTTCAGATTCCACATATAGATGATATCATATGATATTTGTCTTTCTCTGTCTGACTTACTTCACTCAGTATGGTAATCTCTAGGTCCATCCATGTTGCTGCAAATGGCATTATTTTGTTCTTTTTTATGGCCGAGTAATATTCCATTGTATATATGTACCACATCTTCTTTATCCATTCATCTGTCGATGGACATTTAGGTTGTTTCCATGTCCTGGCTATTGTAAGTAGTGCTGCAATGAACACTGGGGTGCACGTATCTTCTCAAATTAGAGTTTTCTCCAGATATGTGCCCAGGAGAGGCATTGCAGGATTACATGGTAACTCTATTTTTAGTTTTTTAAGGAACCTCCATACTGTTCCCCATAGTGGCTGCACCAATTTACATTCCCACCTTCTCCAGCTTTCATTATTTGTAGACTTTTTGATGATGGCCGTTCTGACCGGCGGACAGGCACTTCCTTTCAATTGATATTGCAATGTGCTTGGAGGAAAGAGGTTGTCTCAGGGTTGAATTCCAGAGCTGTCTTCATCAGAATCCACATGGTCCATTTATTAGGACACTTATTTAGCCATGCACCCCAAGTTCTTCACCTTTCCCTCATTCTATGTAATAAAAGTTCTAAGTTCATAAATATATAAATTCTACAGAAATGAAACAACAAGTAAAGAAAACCCAAAAGCCCTCCATAATTTTTAACTGCCGTCCCCTCGCCCCCCCCCCCCCCCATCCAGAGGAGAAAGTGTGAAACTGGCCGCCATCCAGCGCCATGTGGTTAAGCACATTTCCTTTTCCCAGCATCCTGAGGCTGGGCTGTGCTTTCCGTGATGAATTGCCCTCAGCATCCTCCCTATGTGATGTCTTGGGTCCCTGACGGGGCCACAGCACACAGATTGATGCCTCTCCGTCACACGGACACGCTCTGGGGCTGACCCGGGAGCCGTGGCCGTGGCCCCAGGAACGCTCCCAGTCAGTGGTGTTCAGACCGCTCCTGCCCAGGGTGGCACCGCTGGGCGTCCTGGCTTCAGCGAGGACTACCTTCTAGGCCCTAGGCTCCTGGGTGGGAAACCTCTTCAGCAAAGCCTGCCGCCCTCTGTGGAAGTGGTCCAGCGGTCTCGTGGGCCAGCTGCTCTCTTGCAGAGCAGTGCAGAGTGGCCATTCTGTGCCCAGACTGACCCCTGTCTGGGTCCGGCCCTATGTGAACAAGGGCAAGTTACTCCGGTTTTCTGAGCCTCATTCACTTTCCGTGTAAAATGAGGATAATCTTAGTACTGACCTCTTCAGGTACATGTGAGAACTTAAGCTCAGGGTCTGGACATAATCTCTCAGAAAATAATACCTGTCACCACTTCCCTATTATTAGCCTAACTCCTCCACCCACTAGAAACAGGCAGGAAGAGAGGGTCAGTCCATGCACAGCATCATTCTGGAGTTAAAGGAGATCTCAAAATCCATCCGGCCCAAAGGCCCTTTCAATTTGGGAATCCTACTTTGGGCGCCACAAATTCCACTGCTTTCAGGGACTAGGTGGGCATAAATGTACAGACCAGCATAAGACCAGATAGAGGAGAAGCTTTAGAAAAACCAGAAACGTGTGCTCTGCCCAAGAGACGTCACATGCAATAATGTTCAAAATGTATGCTGGCAAAAGAAAAATAAATTCCGAAAGAAAGAAGGAAAGAGAGAAAGATGAACTAATTAACCAATCATGCTGTTGCCTGGACCCCGGCCGAAGGCCGTGAGTGTGGTGCAGGCCCTTCAGGATGCGTCACAGGTGGCCGTCCTGGATCACAGGCAGCCGTGGGTGGTGGAACCGCGCTCAGGGGTTAGGAGTGCACTGGAGCCCTCGCTGCATCCCAGGAGCGAGTTTGGCATGACTTCCCACCACGCTGAGGGCGCGTCTGCGCAGGGGCATTCTTCTCCTGTCCTCTCACCCACGGGAGCGCGCACGCGCAGTCACGCATCCTCACCTTTCTCAACCGCGCGGCCCCTGTGCCTGAGCGGATGGCGTCCATCAAGGCCTGCCTGGCGTCCACCGGGTTGCTGAGGGGGCCCGAGCTGGACCTGGACGCCGTCCGGGATGCGGTGGGAGCCTGGGTGACTGGAGGGGATGGGGGCGATGGCGGCGGCAGGGCGGGTGGGGACTGGATCCCAAGGTCTTCTAGCCCTGGGGGTTCTGCCCCATGTGCAGACAGCATGGCATCGCGGAGGCTCTGGAGCTCCTCAGAGGCGGAGGACGTCACCTAGCAACGAGACGGTTAAATGACAGTGTCCCAAATGTCCTTTCCAAGAGGCGGCACAGTGTATCTGACCGTGCAGCCAGCCCAGGGGGCGTGTCTGCTTCCCATCCCTGGGCTTTCCTGGGGGCCGGGGGTGGTGGTGGTGGCAGTGACTGATGGCAGGGAGGAGGGCTGTCAGTCTGGTCCTACTGAGACCCCTGCCCTCCTGCCTCATCGTGGCGTGTCTGGACAGACCCCAAGGCCACACACCAACGACCAACCAATGCGGATGACCCCTCCTCCAAACACGGAAGGGAAGGTGTCCGTTCCGCTTTTCCTTGGCTTCTGGCTCTGGAAGCTGGATGACCCTCTGTCCCCGAGCTCCAGTCCAGGTGGTCCTGCAGCTGTGCCAGACCAGCAACTCCATCCCTGAGTTGAGACGCTGCCGCCTCCCACTGCTGGGTGATCTAAGCCCTGAAGCCAGGCTCAGCGTCCCGGAATTTGGGGAAGTGCACAGAGCTAGACATGCAGGGAGGACTTACTCGTCTGGGAGAGAGAGGGAGAGCTTCTGTGCAGGGGCGGCCCCTCAATGCCTCTCCTGCGGTTGGTCTGGTTACTCCGATGATGACTTAGCATCGCTTACACAATCGGGGGTTGCCCTGGCTGTTGCAGCATCCCCGGGATCACTGGGGGGGGGCAGCTGTGGAGGCCCCTCTTACCTTCCTCAGGCTGCAGGTGCCGCTGTGCCCACGGATGGCTGCCAGCAGGGCTGAGCGCTCGCTGTCTGTCTCTGTGTAGGACGGTTTCTTCAGACCTCCCTCTGAGCCGGGTTCTGGAGTCTAGAATATTTATTAACGATGTCAACACATGTCACTCAGGAGACGGGGGAATGCTGACGGTAAGGTAGTGCAGAGAAAACCCATAGTTATCAGTTCAGACCTACAGGGTCAGTTTCACAGTCTCTGTCTGTTAGAAGGTAAAATTATCAGGTTGAGATTCTGGATTGAGCTCACACTATACAAAAATCAAAGGTGTTATATGTGGGGTAGCACAGGATGATCGCCCCTGAATGTCCTATCCCTCCTGTTACCGGTCCTAGCTTTCCTGAGCAGATATGTGCCTTGAAGTCCTGCAGACCTGGATGAGGGGCCTGGGTCCCCACTAGCTGGCAGGGGGACCCCCAGTTTTCTCAAGGGCAAAATGGAGGACACAGTTCCCAATCATCCGTGTTGGTGTAGCTATTAAATAACATTTGCAGGATGATAAATGCCTACGTGGGGGCAGGTGTGATAAAACTGTCCCCAAGGTTACTGGAGAATGACAGCCCACCACTGCTGAAAACGCAGGGTGACGGGGATCCCAGTCTGACCCTCCATCTACCCCTTCAGGCTCAAGGACCAGGTGTGGATGATTCCCCCTGCCCCACCCACCTCCTCTCCACTCACTCCCCTGCGACCAGGCAAGGGCTATGTACTAGCGACATCTTTCCCCAGGGCAGTCAAGAGCCTTAAAGGCAGTGTGGACGAGCCCAAACCCATCAGTTCTGGCCCCTTAATGGTTCTATTCAAATAACTCTGTAGGCAAGGAGACAGAAATTCAGGTAAAATTAAACCCGTGCATTCACCCACATCCCTAGCCCGGCACTCTTCCTCCGATGCCACCTTAAAGTCTCTGTCTGGGTGGCTGTGGGGAAGGGCCCATCCCTGAGGCAGGAGCCCGTTGATGACTTCACCTTGCGAAGCCTGTCCTTTCCTCCCGCCGAGTGGATGGCCTCCATCAGGGCGCTGTGCAGGGATGTGTCTTTCGGGGCTGGCCTCTGGACCACGGGTCTGAATTTCTTCTTTGGCCCAAAGATACTGGCTGGCAGGGTACCATCGGCTTCAGGTACATCTGTGCTTGACAAACCCGGCTTTTCCTCCCATTCAGGGGGCTCCTGTCCAGCGTGGCTACTTTTATCAGACACTCTCGGAGAGTGGAGAGGCTCTTTGTGGACGGAGACCCACCTGGAGCCATTCACCAGGGCACTGCCTGGAGTCGGATCACCTCCCGAGCGAGCGGGAGGGGGGCTCGTGCCGGCCGGCTGGCACTTGGGATCAGATGACGAGCTGGTCCTGTGTTTCCTTGGGCTTTGCTTTCCACTGAGACCACAGCTCTGTCCCACGGAAGCCTGACCCCTCTGGGCAGCTGTGATGAGTGGTCCATGGGAAGTTCTGTGGATGCCAGTGGGACCGTCTTGAGTAGACAGCTTCCCATAAGGGCTGCTGATTTGCCCCCCGGGATGCGCTCCTGCTGCCGATCCGTCCCCACTGTGACGCACGCCTGTCTCTGGGTACAGGCTGGGGGTGGTACCATCCTTCACCATGGGAGGTCGTCCAGGTGGGTCTGGCTCTTCACATGTCTTCTGGGCATTCCCAGGCTTCCTCCCCACGTCAGTGTGGGCTTTCGGGGTCCCTATCCGCTTGGCAATGGCAGAGGCCACGTACTGGCTGGATGTTCTTCTCTGAGGCTTGAGAAACGGGACTTCTGCGGTGTTAGCTGCTGGAACTTTCAGGGGACAAGCAGCTGCTGGGAGTGGCCAGCTTCTGCCCTCCTCCAGAGGTCTCCCATCTTCTGGGTTGGGGGACCGGGGCCGGGGCAATGTCGCTTTGGGGTCTGGGGAAGTGGGCTCCGCTCTGAGTCTGCTTTCTTGAGGTTGCGGATTCGTGGGCGTGGTGGGGGTAGAGGTCCTCTTGGCCCCCTCTGCGGGCCGGCCAGAGTGTTTTTCTATAGAGTCGGACCTCCAGAACTCTTTGACTTTTCCGATGGGCGGGGCTTCTGCTTCCAGAGCGGGCGGCGTCGGGACTATGGTCCTGCCGGCGTTCGTGTGGGGACTCACCAGGTTCCCCAGCTCGTCGATCTCGATGGCACCCGTGGAGAGGGATGCCCCCCGGTCATAACATTTCATCTCTGACTTTGGAGGGACGATTTTATACGTTGTGAGGCCATATTTAAGCCCGTAACTCCCCCCTGGGTGTTGGTCTCGAAACCACGGCGGTAGTGTCCAGACGTCACTTTTATCATCTCCTTCCTTTTCCTTCCCTGGCTGCGCGCTCACCCTCCTGGTGGCCAGGGTCCTCCCGCCATGAGCAGAGCTGGCCACCTTGCGTTCCTCCTTCGCATTCAGGTCGTGCGTGTGAAGCGCTGAAGCAGAAGTTGCCTTGGGCGCCATTTTACTGGGAGTCACATCCTTCCAGGTGCTGGTCGAGGCCACTATGACTTCTCTCCCAGGGTCCTGGGAAGGAGCCGGTGAGCCAGGCCCTGCCGCCCGCCTCTGCCCGTGCTGCTGGATGTGCTCGGCCTGGCACGGTGGCAGCTGGGCCTTCTTGCTGGCTGTGCTCCCAGCATCGAAAGAGCCAGCGTTGTTGTTTCTGTTGGTAAATGCCACCGAGTCCACGGGATCATCGAGAACCTCCCCTATGAATGTCACCGGGATTGCCTCGGTATCGCCGTCGGGGATGATGGTGCCTTGCGGGCAGCGACCGGACATGCTGTGTATGCAGTTGGTGAGGAAGCTCGAGTCGGTTTCATAGCTTTCTTCGATCTCTGCAAAGAAGCACAACACAGGTCACGGGTGGGCACCACTCGGACAACTCCTGTGCCCCTTATTCAGTGAAATTGCACCCCGACTTTGATTTCTCTGGGGTGCCTCTGGTGTAAGTTATTTAAAGTGTCATCTTGGGTTGTCATCTACACATGCCTGGAAGCAGTCTCAGCTTGCATGACTCAACAGAGGACCTGTCTGCCGATCTGTGACGCCTTGAGGTATCATACGACATTTTGCCGGTATCTTCACTTACAGACTGATCTCTAAGTCCAAGCCCTCCATATACACCACCTCAGGGCAGGGTGGGAAGGTGGACTGGGGGGTTTTGACTTTCACCTTTTGCTCTTGTTCACCAGGAGCACCACAAAGTCTATGGGACAACTTGATCTTGCTTTGCTTATTAAGAGGCAGATGACTGAGCCTCGAGCCCATCAGAATTAGCCCTAAAGGATGCAGTGAGCCCTGCGGGCAGAGCCAGAGGACACACTAAGGCCGATGAAGGTTTCTCAGCCCTGTCAGCCCCATCTGAGGACGGAACACTGAAAAGCAAGTCAGACAAAACTCCGGGCCAGCTCTGGAGTCTGTCTCCTTCTTCTTGTTTTGTTTTCTTTGAGGGCACAGCCAATATCTACTTCCTAGTTGGTTTTCACTCTGTGCCTTCGTTTGAAAGATTTCCAGTTTTGACTGAGCTGATTTGCATCTGCTTCGGCCTTACTCTATTATTTCTCCGATATATGCACAGAATCGCAGTGCTGTGGGATGCCCCGCTCTAAGAGGGGTCCTTGTCAACACGCTGTGTTCTGCGTTTCCCTTTGAAAGTCAGCCCCCATATTAGCAAGTAACAGGGTTGGAGGTTTAATAAACAGCCCTGTTTGCCTGTGTGGCACCCAGTGTTTCCCTAACTCATTTGAGGACTGGAGAACTTTTTTTCTGTTCATGTGTATGGAAGACTTTTTAATGTGCAAAATCAGTATTACTCAGAGGAGGTTTTAAGCAGCTGCTCAGACGTTTCCTCGGGACTGTTCAGCAGCCCAGATGCAGGGTCCCCTCCAGGGAGCTGTGCTCACCTGTGTGCTCAGCCCCCAGTCCGGGCCTTCCTCACACGGAGCTGCGTTCCCTCTGCAGACATCTTCCCTGTGCGAGGCCATAAAGTTCAGCCAGAGAAGATAACCCTCAGAGCACCGGCCACACGGGGCAAAGGTCCAAGCAGGAGCAGGCGCTGCTTACCTTCCAGGTCTTCGTCCAGTTCTGCAAGGGTTTTCTGGAACTGGCCGGTCATGAAGAGGTCTTCATCCTCATGTGAGGCTGGAGCAACTCTTCCACTTCTAGGGAAGACCAAGCAGAAAGGGAGAGCATTCGTTTATCTCATTATTTACGTAATTCACTCTTTTCTGGAAATATCTGAAGAAGGTACAACTCACAGTCAAATTCTTGCAGTTCCAAAGGCATTGGACCACTGCTGCCCTTGGACCTACTGGGACGCAGATGGGGTGTGTGTGTGTGTGTGTGTGTGTGTGTGTGTGTGTGTGGTGCACAGCAAACACCATGACTACAGCAAACCTCAGGGCAGCAGTGACACTGGTGACAGCCTCCCCAGCCCATCCCCCTCCCCAGGCCCCTCAGGGTTTTAACTGGATGGGGGAAATGCCCACAGCGGGGGGCCACACAGTGCCCTCCAGTACCTCATGCAGCCTTCCCACGCGGGGACCTACTTGGGGCTTTTTTGCCCAGATCATCCTATGATAAACCTCACAAGCCGATATAAAGCAGGTGAGGTCCTTATCGCTGCTTCACAGAGAGGCAACTGCGTGAGCTCAGGATGGCGCAGCCCAAGCTCACAGGGGTTCCAGAACCGGGGAGGGCTGGCCACGTATGTATCCAGAGGTGCCGCGTGGTGCTGCCACCCGGGCATCCAGGGAGATGTCCCCCCCTCCCCCCAAGGAGAACTGGACCTTCCTTATCTGTGTCCCTGGACAGCGGCATCCACAAGACAACGGCTGCCAAAGCAATTTGAAAGCAGCCTTTGCAAAGGCTCTTGTCTCCGTTTTCTTGCTGTGCCAAGAACAGAGACACATATGGGGTGATTGTCACTCTTCAGTGAAAGCTGAAGGTCTTTCCCGCTGACCGTTAAAATCGAGGACCGATTTCCATCATTACTAATCAGGCCGAGATAATGATGCTTGAAATATGCTTTGTACCATCCTCACTTACGTAGCAAAGTTTGTGTTCTGATAAATGAGCCTTTCTTACTTGGTGATCGTGTCTCTTTGGAGCCAGGAAGTGGCTTCCAGACCCGTCTCAGCTAATGTCCTCTGACACGGCAAACAAAGAGCGTTGGCCGAGATCTGTGTGGCTGTGGACCAACTAACAACGACCATGGGAGGCTCAAGGCTGCGTTTCCTGTTGCTTTTGCCCCAAGACTTAATTGAATGCATTTACTAAACTTGTGTTTTTCTCTTTCACGGAATGTGGTGGTTTAAATAAATCTCATTTAAATATTCAATAAAGTGTACGGCAGAGAAAAAAAATGGAAAGGGCTCTATAAAACAGTGTTTGAAATGGAAAACAGAGCACTTTTCAAATGCTGCCTCCTACTTTAAGTTGTTTAAAGTCCAGCCAAACAAAATTATGTCTATACTTTTCCTTCAACGTATTTGCCTTTCCTTCAAAGTATGCAAAATCACACTGTTCCATGGGAACAGAATGATATTAATAAGAATTAAAAACTATAGCACAGGGAACTATACTCAGTATTTTGTAACAACCAATAAGGGAAAAGAATCTGAAAAAGAATGTATATATACACATATATATATGTGTATGCATATATATACATATTCACTTAGTTGTATCCCTGAAATTAATACAACATGGTAAATCAACTATACTTCAATAAAAACTAAACTAAACTAAAATAATGCACCCTTTGAAGAAAAAGAATTAAAAAGTAATTTAGAAGTTCCACTGATGATATTATTTCATAAAGCGTACACTGGAGAAAGAAGATCACCCCAGACTGACGACAACTCCGTGAATCTGAGACTCTCAACTTGTTGCTCCTGGTGTTACCTGGAAAGCAACGGGAATGTGGACATCCAGAAGCAAAAGCATAGCTTTAACTCTGCAGGAACTTTGGTTCATTAGCCTCACTTTTGATAATTTGCCTTAAGAAAATAATGCTATGGAAGGAAAAACATAAACACCAGCATGTTCATCATATTCACGGGGAGGTCTCTACAGCTTCCGGCAGCAGGGAGTGCCCCCCGTCACGCATCCTATGATGACCATGCCATGTAGGTGGAAACACAGATCGCTGCTTAAGCTGGCATGTCACGTGAAGAAATCAAGACATGCAACTCCACACAGGATGGTCATGATGCTCGAAAAGTAACCTGTGTCTGTGGACAAGGCTGAGGCAGAAACCCAGGCACCATCGCCGACCAGTGTGACTTGTTGAAATGGATGGATTACGGCAAATATTTCATACTTTTTTTTTTGAAGTATGCTCATTTTGGTACAAAGCAGCTTGATTGATAAGGCAATGTTTGAAATGGGCAACATCTAAAATGATCCTTTGGTCCTCTGATGAGTACTAATTCTTTTATGAAAAGCCATTTACGTGTGTGTGATACCATGTCCAATACACGTGGCATGTTGTGTTTATAATTTTAGTTTGTTCTGAGTACCCAGCAATCCCTGAGATGATCCTAAACCAGTGTGTGACAATCTAACTCCTCAAGGAGGCACTGCAGCAAGGCCTGAGCCAGCCCTTCCCCACGCTCCTCCCACCCATGCTCCGGCCTGAGCTGCCTGGTCTAACCATCAGTGGCCAAGCTCAGGGCTTCAGACCTGTTCTCCGTCTCACCTCCCGTCAGGCCCCCTGTGAAGTCCGGGGTCCCTACACCGCATCCCCTGCCTTCCACCTGGCTCAGCCTGCCTGCCCGCCCCTTTCCTCCGTCTGCCTCTTGTACCTGTCCCAGGTTTGTCCCAGATGCTCAGCTCCACACTCCGCTGACACATCCCACCCACCTCTCACCTGACTTTGCTCTTGACGCCCCAGGGTGCACCTGGTTCACCGGGGCCTTGCCTGTCCAGGAGGAGAGAGTGGACACGTGACAGAAGCCACCGGCCTTGGGAGCGCTGTGGAGGGAGGAGCCCAGGTCCTTGGCCGGTGCTTTCCCCAAGGCTGCCGAGCACCTTCGGGGCGGGGCAAGGCCAGGCCTGTGGACCACTTGGCTTCTGCAGCCGGTGCCTCTCCTGATGCGGGATAGGACCCGCCACACTCTGGATTCTGGGTGAATGGTTCATCTGGCAAAAGCCCAAACCAGTGTGATGTATGTATTATGCTTTCCAATGTACAGCTTCAGGAGGGGGAGACTTAGCAGAATTTGCTTTTCCTTCCTCACCCACCCCATCCGCTTCTCCTCAAAGGGCTGCCGATGGATTACAGCTATTCCTCTCTCCCTGTAACAGCCAGCTGGGAGCACTTGGTCCCTGGGCTTGGAGGGCAGCTTCTGTGGGCTCAGCAGGAGGGCCCTCCTGCGTGCCCCTGAAGAATCACAGTTGGCCAGAAGCATTAGCACCTCTTTTCAGCTGAAAGTCAACTGCGCAGATGTTCCTTTCCCAGGCATCATTCCTTACGCCCAACACACACCCCACTCTAAGATAGACAGTTTCTTATGGACAGTTTGTTTTGGCTTAAGACCAAGGAAATGAAGGGCAAACAAGCAGCACAGGCATTCCGATACCAGCTGCACGTGTTGGAGAAACCTCACCGGGAGCCTGGCCTCCCACGGTGGTCACTCTGCCAAGGCCACAGCCACGGACAAGCCACTGCTGCCTAACGTCTGAGGCTCAGCCGGCCTCAAGCGGGAGTCTTCCCGGAAGTGGAGCAGCCTCAGGGGTGGGGTCTGGCGACGGCCCCACCCACTCCCATGGGAGACACAGCAGTCACGAGGAATCAGTACCTGGGCAAACAGGTGCTTTTTCATTTTTTAAAAAATTTTATATGAGAAAGAAGAAAGCACGGGCTGCTTCTGCCCCATTCCAGCACATCAAGTCATTTTTCTTTTTGATGTGGCTAGGAAAGTTTCTTTAGGTAATTTACCCAGTCGCAGAAAACAAGCAAAGTCTGAGAGGAAAAAGATGCCCTTTTCATGTTCAACGGCTGACAACAACCAAACCAACCCATGCGATTTCAAAACAGTTACTTGATAAACTAAAGGTAAGAAGCCTGGGAAAAGAGATGGCTGATGACAGTAATATGTGCTTAACTTCCCCATTCCGTGTACAAATGGTCCTGTATTTATAAAGCTTCAGAGTTCTAGAACAACGGGGTCCAACAGAAATGTCATGTGAGCTACACATGTAATTTAAAATCTTTTTGTAGTCACATTAAAAAGGTAAAAAGTAAGCAAGATTATTTTTTCATTAAATAATGTTAATTTTCCTTAACTTTAATTAGTATACTCTAACTCAACATTTAACCCAAATTAGTATCGTCATTTCCATATAATTAATATTAAAAAGTTCATTTTTTCACATGTTTGGTGCAATTGCACTCTCACAGCACATCTCAATTTGGGCTACCCATCCGGCGGGCTCAGGAGCCAAAGTTAGCTGGTGGCTACTGTACCTACAGCATAGTTCTCCAAGATCTTAATGTTTGTAAATACTCCTCTGTTAGTGCAGTTACAAAGTTTCAGGGTTCTGAAAGGTATTAAATGTTTCTAAATGCTCACTTGGGCACAAAGTTCCTGTAGTTACAAAATTGCAGGGTTCCAGAAGGCATAAACTATTTCTAAATGTTTCCTGTGGTCACAAAGTTCTCATAGTTACAAAGTTTCAGGATCTAGAATATATAAAATGTTTCTAAATGATGCTAGAGTCACAAAGTTCCTTCCTATAACTACAAAGCTGCAGAGGTCTAGAAGGTATAAAACATCTCTAAACGCTCCTAGGTCACAGAGCTCCTCTAGTTACAAAGTTCCAGGGCTGAAAAGCCAGGACCGGAGCCCAGCTCCTCCACCCATGACCTGCGCGTTCTCAGTTCCATAAGCGTCTCGAAATCCTCAGCCCTGCAGATAAGAGAGACACAGCTTGTCGCTTCCACAGCCCTCACGTCCACCACTCACGGACAGGTGGGGGCGGAGAAGGAGCTTACGGATTGCCAGGCGGAAGGTGGGCAGGCAGCGGACAATACAGGGAGACGCCCTTCCCCTGGAGAAGCTACAGTTTCTGTCTTTTGAGGCTCTACGCATGATTTCAGTGTGGTTCTACTGTTAAAAAAAAAACAGAGCCTGCAACCCACTTACCCAATCTGTCT